CCCCAAAACCCCAAAACCCCAAAACCCCAAAACCCCAACCCTCTTAGATGAGCTGATCGATATTTATTTATAAATTTAGAGAGAAATCATAATGGAAAAGACTGAAGAAGAGTCAAAACTTGATGCTAAACCTGCCACTGAAATAGAGCTCTCAACCAATGAAAAGGAAATGATCAAAGCAGTCACCAGCCTTGACTATGCTTACTTTGAAGATTTATCAGGACTTGAATACAACATTAACTTTAGAATTTCCCCTGATGGGATAAATCTGCTGTTGCTAGCTTCCTCAATAGGTGATATTCCCATGATCCAAATGATGGTTGCTAACAAACATGTCCGTCTAAACCATAAAGATGCAAACGGAGAGAATGCTATCTTCTACGCTACTGCTTCTGGGAATCTTGAGGCAGTGAAAGAGTTACGTAAAAGAGGCTGTCATATGCAGATTAGTAAAATAACAGGCGCTCATCCAGCCCATTTGGCATGAAAATAAGGGATACCTTGATATTGTCAAATACTTCATCTCAGATATCGGCCTCAACCCTAATATAACTAAATAAGGGGATGACTATGCTGATGATTGCAAGTTGGAAAAAGCATCCTGAAATCACAAAATTCTTGTTAGAAAATGAAGCTGATCCAAACTTAGCTTTGGAAAATGGAACTACTGCACTATATCTGGCCGCTAAATCAGGTGACCATATCTCTCTTGATTACCTCCTACAGTCATCTACAGAGGTAGATTGACTCTGTGACAACAGTAAGAGCACTCCTCTCATGACAGCAGTTCATAATGGTAACCTTGAGTGTGTGAAGAAGCTGCTAATTCATAAAGCAAATGTCAATATATGAAATTCAAATGGTGAGGATATATACATACTCGCCTCCCAATGACAAAGTCTGGAGGTATTCAGGCTAATCTTGACCCTATATACTTCCAAAGGTTTCGAGCTTGATAAAGAGTGTCATCTGGATAAAATGACTATGTTCATGAGAGCTTGTTTTACACAAAACCATAAAATTGCTAAATACCTAAAGAAGAAGGGTGCCAAGATTAATTTCCACAACTCTGATGGAGACTCTATCCTTCACATTGCGCTTCGTCACAAACTCAAGAAGGTGATTGCCTTCTGTTTGTTGATGGGTTGAAATACTAAATTAACCAATGAAAAAGGTGAAAGTTATGAGAAATTTCTGTAAGTTTCATCTCATTTTTTTAGCAAATCTGAGGATCCAGAATATTCTTTCCTCGAAGGTCTCAAAGCTAAAGTCCAAGAAAAGCTAAATAACCACAAAAAAGACAAATTCTCACGAAAGAAGGTAAATTAAACTCTCTCTAACTCATAGGCTACTGGGAAGAATAAGAAACCCGAAGATGGCAAACTTGGACGTGATCACGAAGGTAAGCAACTATTGCTTTTCTCAAAACTTAATATTTATAGACACTTTAGAAGGTCAAGCCAAGCTAGAGCCCTTAGACTTGAGCTTTAACAACGACACTGATGAAGGATAGGCTTTCCTAATAAATCTCTTAGTATTTAAGCCGATATAGTAATCTTCTTGCTACTATTAATGCCTCTAATTTCAGGGCTTTGCCCTGAAATTAGTACGCATTATCATATTTCAATATTATTAATATTCTGGGGTTTTGGGGTTTTGGGGTTTTGGGGTTTTGGGG